TGATTTTTTGAAATAGAAAAATGAAGTTAATGTTTTAAATTTCAGTTTTTTTTTTAAATTCAGTATACTGTCTGCATACAACACATGCTATTTGTATACATCATTAAAAACTTAGCAAATTGTTTCTGTTAATTTGCTCTGTTAATGACTGTTACAAAGCTATAAGTATATTGGTGAACAGAAATTTTATGGAACATTGACATGATTCATGATATATGATAAAAGCATAGTCATCATTTGTAATGTTTATAATGTATTTATCAATAATTCCATTGCTACTGCAGGCTTTGCTGTACTATTACCCAAAAATGAATGCCAACTGGGTAGAGGAAGACGGACAACCAAAGCCCCTCCTGATATCCAGGCACACCTGCAGTTGATGCTGCACTTGCTTTGTCAAGGGGACACACTTCACATGGTGAGAATTTCTGAAATATATTTTTATTGAAATAAATTGCAATGAAGGGTATTCACAAATGAATATATTTTCCATTTATTAGACCTTCATATTAATTGTTAGCAGTCAACTTTAGAGGTACTGGGTATTTATAGATTTTTTCACCAAAAAATAATGTGCTTTTACAATTGCTGATGTAATTATTTGCTGTATTTTTACTATTGCCTTTGAGGATGGCATCTGTATGCATGCCTTGTCCACTGTGAACTTACTTTATTAATTGTCTCTACACATAAATGGCTCCACAAGTACTAGGTCAATCACTAGTACTACTTATCTCAACTTTTTACCATTTTCCTTATTTTACGGAATTTTTTTCTTTTATCTGTTATTTCTGTTAGGAATGTCTATAACATTATGATAATTATAATGTCTATAATTATTTAAAGTAGTATCAATATTGATAGCATTTTTTTTTTAATAAAAAATTCAAAAGGGTGAAATCAGGTGAGGTCACAAGGTCTATTAATTAACTACTTTGGGAGAGCATTTGTTGTGCCATCTATGTGTAGAGACATTGCACAAAAAGAATACCATAGGGAACACTATATTTTCTCTGCAACATGGGATTAATATTAATTTCATATTCATATATCCCCTATGTATTTTATATTGAAGTAAGGCATTTATTAAAAACAGTTGTTTTTTAAGGTATTTGAAAATCTTATCAAAAATTATAATGTACTGCTTTTCATATTTTGCTTTAGTCTTTGTTTGAGCACAACATATGAGGATGTTACAATAAGAATATGTCTTACTGACTATGCACAAGGAAATTATTGACTTAATAGTTCAACAGTGACATTATGCTGTATTGTAGTATAAATTAGATATTGCGTTTCTTTTTATAAGATCAAATTTATATGTACAAGAATGGATTTCTAAAATATTTTTTGATATGACTCAACTTGCTGTTTGAATTAGACCAGTTTATGTATGAACAGTTTATACATATATGCTCCACTATTGATTATTTGATAATCAATATTGTCCTCTGTTCCAGGCTGTCCGCTTGGAGTCACAACACGCTGGTCGTGTGCGGTACTTGACTGTGGTGGGTAGGATGGGACGGCAGGATACGGAAGAAGATTGTTTATTAGGCATAGATTTTAGTTCAGAAAAGCCATCCATTGGTCTGGTAGTTCCTGTTCTGGCAGACACAATGATAAATTTAGATGGTGATGGGTGAGTATGATTTTTTTTATTTGTTGTAAATCTTTTATGGGAGTTTTTTTAAATAGATATGTGAAGTAAGAGATTGTTAGGTAATCTAAATATTTATTTTACATATTTAGATGATAAATGTTTTTTTTTATAATTTTGTTAGGATGCTTATTGAGTATTATTAATAAGAATGCTGAATTCTATAAACCTGTTATTTTGAGACCCACTTTAATGAAAATTAGGTTGCTTTTGTTGTAACGTATTTCAGTATCCATTTCTAGTGACTATTAAACTCCCTCTTTCTTTCTTTTTCTGTACTATAGTGGATTCAGTGTAAGCACAGGAGGGAGGAAACACATCTTCAAGCCAATCTCCGTACAAGCAATGTGGTAAGTAATTTGTAATTGGAGTGGCTATCTTCTTATATCATGTAAGCTGTTAGAATTGTGTACTATTCCTTCTATTTTCATTTGTACCAATATCTGAGTCACTCCCAATGATGCCTAATCACGGCACAGCAAACTGTGGCTGCTAAGTGTTGCACATTATTGGAACAAAATGAGACATACTAAAAGATGATCCACATTAGTCTCAAATACAAAACTGTAGCATGTACTGTAAATTCTTTTATACAAAATGCACTGTGTTGCTGCACAGAGTATGTGTCTTTTCTCAATTTCTTTTCTTTAACCCAATGCCACCTGGGAAAGTGAATAAAAAATGGGGGTAAATGCTGTGCTCATTTTCTATATTTTTTGTGAAATGTCTCTGCACATACTTGGCTCTGCTAGTGCTTAGCCACAAAGGAGTCAATTAGTAGACCTTGGGACCTTACGTGATTTGAATTGGCTGGAAAAATGTATTTTTTGCTATTGCTATGAATATTGATGGTGTCAATTTTATTATAAACATTTTAATTACTATAATGTTATAAACATTAGTAACAGCAAAATAAGATAGCGTAAAATATTTTCGTAAATCAAAGAAAAGTGTAAACAGGCGGGACAGGCAGTACTCGTAATTGGCTCATTGGTGACTTAATACAAGTGTAGCCATCTATGTGTAAAAACAATCAAACAAGTCACTCACAGTGGGCATAGCACGTATGTACATGTCATGCTTGTCAGCATTGGGTTAAAGACAAGACATTGTACCAAGAAGTGTATTTTGCTGTTTATTGAAAGTATTAACAGGAGAAGTGTATTTTAAAGATTTAGGTATTATTGGAAATAGTTAAAACATTCTTCAAGAAACATAAATGCAACCATGAATATGTAGCAGTACACCAGTAACTAAACATAATTTTTTTTTTAGCACATGGTAACTCATTTGTAGTTCTCGTACATCTGTCAAACATGACATCGATATTTAGAGATGGTTAGGATAGATTGTAGGATGAAATAACTTAAACATACTACGTTGCAAGATATCTTTATCAAGGTTTATTAACCCATTGCCGCCGGGGATGGCATGTACGTACATGCCATGCCCACTGTGAGTCGACTTGTTCGATTGTTTTTACACATAGATGGCCACACTTGTACTAAGTCACCAATGAGCCAATTACGAGAACTGCTTGTCTCGCCCGTTCACCCTTTTTATTGATTTACGAAAGTATTTAACGTTATCCTAATTTGCTGTTAGAAATAACACCATCTACATTTATAGTACTAATAAGAATACTTTTTTCCCACCAATTCAAGGAAAGGTGAAATCAGGACTAGTAGAGCCATCTATGGACAGAGATATTTCACAAAAATATAAAAAATGAGTACTGCATTTCCCCCATTTTTTGTTCATTTTCCCTAGCGGCAATGGGTTAATTTACAGGAACAAAGGAGGCAATTTAGCAGCTCAGAGCTGCCAGTGTTAACCCTTTGCCGCTGGGTGGCATGTATGTACATGCCTGGACTATATTCTGGATGGTATGTGCTAACATGCCATGGTGCACTGGTCCCATTTTATGGGGCATGTACAGTCAAGCTGCACATGCTATGATGCTGACATGATCCCCTGGCAATGGGGCCCGGGCCAGTATGAATACAGCCTGTGAGAGAGGGCTTTTGCATTGAGAAAGCACCTGGCGGCATTGGGTTAACCATTCTTAATTGTCAGGCTTACCAGTGTTATTGTGTAATAACTGTGGAACACAAAATTTGTGGAGTGTGTTGTGAATACAAATGTGTAATTTTACAAACCTTGTAGCTTATGTTTTGTGTGTTAAACAGTAGTTCACTTATTTGGCCTTAACTGCAGTCATTGAGATGCTGTGCCTCAGTGGTAGGCTTAAAGGCTATTTTAGCCTGAGTCAAAAGCATAGTGAGGGTGTAAATGCATGTTTTACTTGAGTGGGTGATAGCACACAAAGCCTAGCATGTGGCTCATTGTGGCACAGAAAAATATCATGAGTGGGCTAAAATATTATGCTGATATAAGGCTTCAGCAAGGCAATGATTATAGGAAAATATCTTGATATCAATTAAAGTAGTGTGATCAGGTTAAACAGTACAGTAGAAACATTAATAGGATAATGGGTTCTCATATTCTATCTTAACTTATTGATCTAGATGTGGGTCATAATACGGCCATTAGGCTTACCTGAGTGGCCATTCTGATGGATGTGCGACTTGTAGGCCAGTTGCACATAAACTCACATGCAGTGACAAAACTCCATGCCTCCCCTTTGCAGTGTTATTTTCTCTTTTTCTGCTTAAGCACTTTTTTTTTCCATTTTCCAATGTCTATATTTGTCATTTGATTGCTTTTTCCAAATGATAATAGACTGTTTTCCTTGAATAGAATCCATATCATCTCTGAGTAATGCAAAACTCAGTGCAGTATTAATTGCAATAAACAACATCTTATTTGTTTATTTTCTGTAATATTTAGTCTTCTGTAATACAACCTGTGCTGCCGGTCATGGTAGCCAAGAATAGGATCCTGAGCATGGAAATAGCATCCTCGCTGGAGCTAGTGCTTTTCCAGTCATGGCTCATGGATAGTACATTCCACACTTGCTTATTGATGGAAATAATGCAAAAACCCCTACCAAAAGGCCAAATGAGTCTAGTCACCTTCCAAGAGGTTTGTGCACTTGTGAAGTCATTTCTGTCACAGTAGCCTTCAGCTAAAATGCTTATGACAGCAAGTTTTTTCATGACATTATGGCCACATCATCTGGATTATAGGGGTTAAAGCAATATGCATTCTTATTTTATACTTCACTTTAAAATCATAAACCATATTCATAGTCAGTACATTTTGGGAAAGATTGTGTCATACCTATCTGAATGACAAATGCACTTTAAATTATTTACCATGACTTTGTTGACAATGTTGTTATTCTGTCCGAGTCTGGAAACCCAAGCAGTGGCTCTAGATGCATTTAGCAAAGAAGCAAATCCCTGGTCTTTGGGGGACTGTTCAGTTAGTGTGTGCTTGCAGTGAAGATATTAAAGTTTTGATATTTTATATACCTTGGTAGATTAGTTCGTGAGTTGTCAGACCAGGAATTCAGTTGACAGATTGGCCTGGCAGCAGTAGTCATGAACT